TGTGTGTGTGTGTGTGTGTGTGTGTGTCTGTCTGTGCATATCTGTGTGTGTTATATTCACATTCTGTGTGTTGTCAGAGATCCCCAATCCACCTCGATAGCCAATGACAAGCAGTGTGTGTGTGTGTGTGTGTGTGTGTGTGTGTGTGTGTGTGCTTATTAAACCACCAGTACACGGTCCCAGCCTTGCGGTCCGAAACTTGTGGCCACAAGAAAACGAGGCCGGAACGTCAAACGCCGCGCACGCCGTTGATAAATTAGATCGGCGGTTGCGGTTTCGTTTCACGCCTCCAGAATTTGAGGTGTCAGGCCCGCGGCCCAGGTGCCCATGTACTGGTGCTTTAAGATATACACAGCACAGCATCTCTGCTGTGAAGCGCCACGTTAAACCACCAGTACATCCAGCTATTGGCCGCGGGCCCTTTTTGGAGGCCGCCCGCCGCCGATTCGATTTATCTACGGCGCTGGGCCTCCGAAAATTTCGTAGGCGACGAGTTTTCTTTTCAGCAAGGCTAGGGTCGTGTACTGGCGGTTTAAGAAACGTGATATATCGGGGGTCCAGGTCTAAGAGCTAGTCCCCATCAGGCACCTTACTTAGTCTACAGACTCTATACTGAGTCTATAGGGATGCGGACCTTTTTCAACCTGATGGTAGGCCAGATTGATCGTTTCAAAACAGACTCGCAAACCGGAAACAACAATCATTGAGTCAACACACAAACGCGCAAGACAGGGAAAATAGCAAACAGCAGGTAAGAAACGGCCAGGCAAATATCTGCAGAGGACAAGCAGTGAGGCAACACATAGGCTGGAGGGCATGGGGAAGGCGGGAGGGCGCACCACACAAGCACAAAAAGCAGGGAAAAGACAACCACCAGCAAGCAAGAGAAAGTACAAGTCCCCCAAAAAAGGCAAAGTCCAAAAAAAAAACTGATGGTGAGAGATTGTTCTGTCGGACCTCCGCTGACTCATCAGGAATCTGAACCCTCGACAATTCTTTTTTTTTTTTTTTTTTTTTAATTTATTTTAACGGGGCCTTATGGTCCCTACCCTCGACAATTCTGTGGAATCCCCATATTGATGCTTTGGGTCATGAACCTTGTTAAAATCAGACTGCCAGCAAGCAACACCACAAGCGGAACATAGCAGCAGGCAACGACTCAGCGAACGGGGCAACCCAACTGCACAATGTCAAACGTAACTCGATGGAACAACGGCGCAAGCGGATGGGCAGAATAGCAACAACACAGCGAAGCACAAGGCGATGCTGCCAAACGAAGACAAGGCACACAGATGTGCAGCAAGGCAACAGCGCAGCGAAGCACAAGACAGTCACACCACACGGTAAAACATCAGCTTGCAGAGAACAACATGGGGAGGAAGGGGTATGCGCAGCAAGGCAGCAGCGGAGCATAGACAAGGCAGTCCAGACATCGAACACGGAGCAAAGCAGCACACCACCTATTCACACCACAAGTGAACTCCATCCCATAGACTGTTGGTTCCCACCACCTGCTGAGTAATGGGAGTCACTTCAATGAACATCCGTCATCACCCGTTGGAAGCACAGACATCCTTAACTAAGCACCCCCCTTAAACCACCAGTGCCGACCGGTTGGTGCAGCCGTCAACGTGGTAGCCGAATCGGTCTGCCCCTCGGGTCCATATTCATTCGACTCGGGGGGGTATGAAAAATGTGGTTGGTGCCTGTGGTTTAATGGTGCTGCAGGCACTCCCAACGAGGAATGACCGACTATTTGGCACTGCGTAGAGGTGCTCAGTTAGGCACACAGAAAGTCAGAAAAACTACAACGCCGATCGGAACAGAAAAAGTTCAGAAAAGGGAAGGAAGATACAGAAAGAGAAAGGCATACATAAAGATAATTGGGGGTGTGTGTGCGTGTTTTGAACTGTTTTCATATATTAAAATTGAGTGTGTGTGTGTGTGTGTGTGTGTGTGTGTGTGTGTGTGTGTGTGTGTGTGTTTCTCATTCCCTCCACAAATCATAACAAACCAACCATAACGAAAAAGTACAGATAGACAATATAGTAAAAAATGCAAGGTTGGCCACATTTGTGTGGTTCAGGGCCAAGTGCCCACACACCCGTCTTCCGCCTAAGCGGCACACTTGCACATATCACTGGTACCTTGAGGGCAGTGGTTGGTGCCCACCTCAGGGTATCAGTTGTTGGGCAGCCGTTGATGCTTCTTTTTAAAGGTGAATTATCGCTTGCAGTGTGTGTTATCAGTTAGGGGATTCTGCAGACTGTTGAGGGTTCAGACTCATGATGAGTCGGTGAAAGTCCGACGAAACAGTTTGTCACAGCCCCTCGTATGTTGTCCTCTTCTCCCTCTCTGCCTACGGTTTACCGGGCAGCTCTGTTTGACTATATATATCAGGTCGAGCGGCAGTGGTCGGGGCCGTTACTAGGCGGCCATGCTGTGCCTCTAGTGCCAGCGGCGTGTCTGGAGTGTATT